AAAAAAAAAAAAAAACACATCATGGTAAAATTAATACCTTCTCAGCTTCGCATCGAAGCTAAAAAGTATAAAAATATAACACAAGAAGCAGTGTCTATTTACTTAAAATTTTGCGAATTGTGTTAATCTAAACAAAAATTTAAAAGCAAGGGTTTAGTGATTAAACCAATGGTGTTTTCGGAAATTAATAGTAGGTGCCAAGTGGACCTGATTGATATGCAGTCGCAGGGGGATGAAGAGTTCCGGTTTATTATGGTATATCAGGATCACCTTACTAAATTCGTTCAACTAAGAATATTAAAAACAAAGAGAGCAGAAGAAGTTGCAAAACATCTTATCGACATATTTTGTATTTTCGGAGCTTCGATGATATTACAATCTGACAATGGTCGCGAGTTTGTAAATAAAATAATAGAAGACTTAAAAGAAATGTGGGACACACTGAAAATCGTTCACGGAAAGCCACGCCACAGTTGAGAGAGCAAACCAAGACATTCCATGTTGATAACATGGATGAAAACAATTTTTTTTTAAATTAGTACTTTACCCAATCAGTCATAGATAATGTGTAAAATACCCGAGTCATGTACGAAATAAAAGTTTTTATAAATAATATTTTTACTTTATCCAATAGGGTGTTCACATTACCCCGATAATGTGAACTCTAACCATACTTTGTACTTTACCCTTAACATATATAAATATATTAATTTTGAGAAAATTCATATCCACAATTTTTTTTTTTGTAATTTTTGTAGCTTTTTTTAATATTTTTAGTATTTTTTAGTTCTATATTAGTATTTTAAATATATTTAATTTTTAATTTTATATATTGAAAGTTATTACTCACAAATCGTATCTAGTCGAAGACATTACCCTCAAAAATTGAAAAAAATTCCCTCGTTCCCCGTAAANACTCACAAATCGTATCTAGTCGAAGACATTACCCTCAAAAATTTAAATATATATATATATAAGTCGTTTGTATTAAGAAAGTTTATTTTTTGCTTTTCAAAAATATAAAATTTCATTAAACACTATTGAAATTTTTAATTGTTCCTTCGATCTCCTGAAAAATTATTAAAAGTGACTAATGAGCTTTTGCCTATTCCAACTTCAACAGCTGGACTATTATCAGTTGAATATTTTTGTTGTATTATTATGAATTAATATTGAGTTTTAAAGAATAAAATAAATAATTTATAATTGCAACCAGGGTCGAAGGAATAACAATGCAATCAATGAAATTACATTTTAATTTATATAATTTGGAAAAACATAACTTAATAGTATTTATTAAGGAATTAATGAGAAGCGATCGCTTAACTGACAGATTTTGAGCATACATGATAAAAGATACACGTAATTAAAAAAGCATAAAACATTTTTTTTTCATTTGGAGGTGGTATTGAAGAATTTTCTTATGTATATCCTCCCAGAACAAATATCCCTAATTATACCACTGCCAACGTATATTCAATTCGTAAAAGTATAGAAAATCAATATAAAAATTTTTACATAATTATTTAAATAGACAATACTATAATACATACAAGATACTGTGCAGAAATTTTCTTGTTTTTACTATTAGACATTCATTTCTATTCTGATTTTAATGATGAATTTACATAGACATTTCAATCCTCTTAGTATGAATATTAGAAATGATTACTCATTATCAAGTATGAGTTACATCAACAATTCATTTTAATTTTTCATTAGGTGTAACAGTTTACGTAGGAATGGGTAACTGTACAAAAATTAAAAAGCTAATCAATTTCAGTTTTTTTGAGATAAAAATAATTTACGATCAGCTTGTGGATGATATTTTGAAGAGTTAAAATATTATAAACACTAACTCATAAAAATATTCATAGTAAAAATTCGCATGTATGTATTTTGGAAATATATTTTTTTCATCAACATTAAATAAATAATATTTCAAATATCTCAATACTAGTTGTATATGAGATATAAAAAAATATTATTAAAAATATTAAAAGCCAAACATTGTAATTGATTCATAATATTATAATGAATAATAATAATGATAAAATAATTAAATAATAACTCTTAAATTAAACAGTTTTTGCCCGACTCTAAGTAGTTGGGTTTAAGGCAAGGAAAAATAAAATCACTGTTAAATTTAACAAAAACCTATTCAGTTAGTTGTTAAAATAAAATAACTTTGAATTATTACCGATAAAAACACAAAACATAGACAATATTCAAATTGAAATTGAAGGGTTTCGAATAAAGAAAAACGTGGAAATTACATAACAATTTAATAAATACTCATGAGTAACATGTCTTTTTTTTTCCTCGTCTTAATCCCAACTACTTAGGTTCGGGAAATTATCATGTATAACATAAGTATTGCACAATACTTTTAATTTTAAATGACGAGAATTTACAAAAAGAAAAAATGTTTTCCAGTGAAAGCCTTATACTTTAGTTAAGTTATCATTTATATAATAATTGATTGAGTAATTTTTTTTAATAAATAAGTTATATAATTTAATGATTATTTTTAAATAATAGTAAGTTTTTTTTTGAAAAAAAAAATTCGTAATTTAAATTTATATTTGATAAGTGTTAAAGATTGAGTAGGTAAAACATTTTTGTAGTCTTATAATGCAATCTTCTAAACAATACATAAAAATTTAGTATTTACTTAAAATATGTAGGTATATAGGTTATAAATGATTCCACCTCCACTATTTTGTGCGACTGTGGTTAAAACAAGCAAATCCGGTAGTAAGAGATAACGTTTACAATAATATAGTTAAACATTATTGGATTTTACGATTAGTACGGCTTCTGCTAATGTGATTGCAATTTCTATTTCATTTTTTTAATAACTTGATCTCTCGTCAAGTTTTTATAGTATTAAGTTCAACAATACATTTTTTTATAGATAAACTGTAGAAATATTTTTTTTTAAGATGCCAGATTTACAAAAATTTGAAGACCACCGTAGATCGATTCCAAAACGAAATTCTATACCTATCCATTATGTAAGGGGCACTCATTATGAAGTTGGTTACAGCATGGTAAGTTAATAATTATAATTTTTTAATGTTTAATTAAGGAAATAATAACATAGCTGTATATAATATTATATATTATAGTTTTTGTATATTAACGAATTGAAAACAACAGTTCGTGATAATAATATAAATAATTTAACAGATTTAAAATTTTGTTTTGTTAAAATAAAAAGTTTGTATTATTAAATAATTTTTACTCAAGTTTTTGAACATCAAAATCGGCGAATTATAGTAATTGCACTATTTACCCTACTGTTACATTGTTGCCCTAACAAACTATGTTCAAAAACCTGAAAGTCCTCTTGGCTAACTGAAATAATAACTTAATACGGAACAATCCGCATTTTAATCACTGTAGTGAAGTAATGATTATTAGTTGACCTTTTTAATAAATATAGATGTACACTAGGAGATGACTATAATCTCTTTCAACGTACATATATATTTTTCTAATCTATTTATCAAACTTACAAATTTAATGAATTTCTTTTAATTGTTGTTTTATAATTTGGAAAGAGAATAGAATTATAAAATATTAACTGAAAAAATTTTGTGAGTTGTTATAACCTTTTAGATCTCTTTAAATACGCTACCGATATATTTATTTATTTATTTAATTATTTAACGCCAAACGGCAGTTTGCAGGAATAATATTATGATAACATAAATATATAACATAATATAACAAAAAAAAGAGAAAAAAAAAAAGAAATGTACATGCATATATGTAAAACATAGAGTAAGGAAATATGACAACAAAATAATGATGACAATAAATTTAAGATTTATAAGATAAATATAATTTATAATTAATATAAGGCAGTTAAATTTTATAAAAGTAAATGTGACCAAAGCACTAAGTATTATGTTATTTATGTTAATATATTATTTAATTAATTTTTAAACTATTTTAATTATTAACTAATACTATCATACTTATATCATATTAACTTAATTTTATATTGAAAATAACAGGTCTTTACATTGTAAAATATCAATTGTTTTTTACAATGTATCAATTTATTCAAATGAATAAGTTAAAAACTTCCATTACATAAGAAATGGAATATTTGTATACTAATATTACTATTAAGACACAAATTTTTAAAAAGTGTAAATAATGCATAATACTTTGAAACAAATGAAAAATGAATAGTAACTAAAATAAAGTAATTAATATGTTTTAATAATCATAATAGTTGACTTAAAATATAACTACATTGTACTGAAAATATTAGGAATATGTATTATTATTTATATATCGTTCAATTCGTTTTCCTAATTTCTATGAATATTTCATATTCCCTGAAGTTTAAAAATATTGCTATTCATCATATATACTAGTTCTAAATTACATTATCCCTTTAAATTTTAATAATAATTAGTTATCAATAATTATTATTAGGGGTAACTACGGTCACTTTAGCAAAAATTGTTATATCTCCGGTTCTAAGATTCTAAATGTTATGCTATTACAACAAATGGGTGCATAAACATATTGACTGCATTACGTCAACGTTTCAGATTTTTAAAACATAATCTTATATATATATATACAGAATGGAACGGATCTAACTGACAACTCATATAACTTGTAAGCTACATAACATTTTATACTTTTTTTTTTTTTTAAATCAATTTTTACAATATAGAACTATATTTAAAATATGTTTTATGTTATTTTTCGTAATTAAAAAAATATTTTAAAAATTAATTTTTTTAAAGATTTCAATATAGTAATTTTATAGATAAGTCTTAAAGAAAAATTTTGATACCAAAAACTCTTATTTTAATTTAGTAGTTACGTTTATACAGCATTTTGAAATTTGTTAAATTTTGATTTTTTATACAATTTTCTTATGGTATCAAATGTTAGTCCATGTTATGTAAAGTACAGAAGTAAACACTTATTACATTATTTACTGGTAACAGTACGTGATTTCTTTTCCATGAAAATTATTAACATTTGAATAAGCATTTGTAATTGACATGAAAATACAATTAGTAGTATAATTCAGATTATTAAAAAAAATTATAGAAACATTGTCAAAAACATGTTGAATTTTTAATTAAATAAGTTCATATATCATAAATTGAAACGTGAATAATAGAGCATTTATTATCAAATCTCCTAACAAGGGATATCCTATAATAATATGATTACAATGATAGAATCACGCAAATTAATAATTGTTATTACTTTTAACATGGCCAACCATAGAACACTCGTAGTTGATATTTGATAATGTTTCTAACTTTTTTAATAAAGATTAGAGATAATCATTTCTTTATAAAGCGCGTTAAACGTTATTATTATCCATGGAAAAGAAATTAACAAAAATTAAATGGACTAACATTTGATACCATAAGAAAATTGTATAAAAAATAAAAATTGAACAAATTTCAAAATGCTAACTACTAAATTAAAATAAGAGATTTTGGTATCAAAATTTTTTTTTAAAACTTATTTATAAAATGGCTATTTTAAAATATTAAAAAAAATTTTAATGAAAAATTTAATTTTTAAAATATTTTTTTTAATTACGAAAAATAACATAAAACATATTTTAAATATAGTTCTATATTGCAAAAATTGATTAAAAAAAAAAGTATAAAATGTTATGTAGCTTACAAGTTATATGAGTTGTCAGTTAGATCCGTTCCATTCTGTATATATATATATATATATATATTTAAAGCAAATGACTGGTATTACCCTTACCCTGGGGGAATATCGGCCATATATAAATACATGCAAAAAATATACGGATAAAATAATTTTCAAAAAAAATCACTAAAATATAGTTCATATAAATTATAAATATACAATAATTTGATTACCTTAAATTAAATTTCTTAACAAATTTTTTTTAGATAAATAAACGCTGATAACTAATTTCACACATTTAAACGTCAAAACGTTTTTTAGATACTATCATTCTAATAAGAATAAAATTTTTTTATCATTCTTAATCTATACATATGGTCAACATAATTTTAGATGCATGGGCTTAATAGATAATGAGGTGACCGGTATTACCCACTGACCATAGTTTCCTCAGTCTCCCCTACATTTAATTTAATACTATCAAAACTTTATCAGCTATAATAATGTCTATATCTAGCGATACATGACCGCTGTATTAATAAAACCTTGAAAAAAAAACAAATATTTTATTTTAAAGTGAGCAATATGTAATGAGTATTGTCAAATTATAAGTGGTTCAAAAAAAATATCATTTCTGATATTGTAATTTTATATTAAAATTAGTATTGATAGAGAAAAAAATTCACTTATAATTAAAGCTATTTCATGTTAAGACTTATATAAACCTTGACTAGATGATTATAAATCTACAATTTATTTTGGTAATTGTTTAAAAAAACAGTTTTAAGCTAAAATTACGTATACGTATAATCGTCAATTAAATTATAGTGTTTCGTTTTTCCAGGAAACCCGCCACCTATTAAAACAAATTCTTGTTTTAAAAATTATTAATTTGAAGCCTTGACATTAACCTTAGTTTAATAAACGTGATATAAATATGTTAAAATATTTTTAAAAAAGTGAGATGTCATCAAATGGCATCAAATGATGTAATAATTTTCAAAGAGTAATATTTATGAATAAATTAAACACTTAGTTTTACACATAAACAGCCAAAGGTAATACATTTTTTTTACCTAAAAAAATGTTATATTATTCAATTTAAATGAAGATCTGAGCGCACTTATCAGTAAAAAAATTTGTATATTTGATAGCATAGAAGTAGAAGGGTGGGGGTTAGAAAGCTTTTTTCTATTACTATTTTTATTTTATTTTTTCACATAGTTCAAAAAAATAATTTAATTACATATCACCCCATTCTGAGTACAATATGTATAAATAAATTTATTATAGAGTTTTCATTTATTTTTTTTTTCGTTTTTAATTTATTGTATTTTATTAAAATAAAATAGTGTTGAGGAGGTCGTATATAACATAATGTTCTATAACGGAAAACACCTTTACTACCTTAGATTTATATTCTTCGACATTCCAACAAACGGCTATTACTCGAACATGTGAAATCCCACCTCATCATGATCTTTTTTTACCATTAAGGACTTTTAAAAAACTCTAATTTGGTGTAGATTTGAAGAATATAGACGACCTGAACATTTTAAAAATTGAATTTAGAAACATTTTTAATTTAAAAATTCCTTTTAAAGAAAGACAATTGTCTCTAATATATTTATTAAATTTCATTAGATTCAGTATTTATTAAAAATATTTATGGTAGTTTTAAAATTTAGAAAATATATGTTGAAAATGTAACTTTGTAATATTTTTTAAATTTCTAAAATTGAGGGTTTTTTCAAATTTTTAGCATTGATAATGTCAATTAAATTTTTATCAGGTTTTTTAATGTATAGATCAATAAAATTCATCCAGTGAGAGTTTTCATCTACATACAAAGAAATAACCCTTCATGGTAAATCTTTTCTTAGATTCACATTGAAGCTAAAATGTATGTATAATGTGTTGTGTTATATTTAGTTTTATTAAAAATATTTAAAACTTTTTAAGATTTTAAATAAAATAAAATTTTTTTTTATTCTTTTACATAATATTCATATACAATAGAAATAATAACAACTTCATGTTTTATTAAAACGTGATAACTTGATTAATTATTAAAATTATTATACATGTCGTAGTAAATCAAAATATCAATGAAATTATATGAAGGATATATATACCTCAAGAAAGATAATAACTGCATGTATTTATGTATAAAGTGTTTATAACAATTATTATTTATATAGTTATTCAAATTATAGCGACACTCAATTCTTCAGTATAATTCTAATTCAATCCTATGAATATTATAACTTTAATTTAACTGAAATTAATATAGTCAATAAAAGCGGAAGGTATAAGGTAACATAGTTATTTTAATAGCTACCGATGAGATTAATAGATTCAGAAAAAGAATCGTTTATTTATAATTATTCTAATGGTGTTCTACTTGATATTACTAATGTCAAGGTCACCAGGAAGTTTGTGAATGACTATGTCATTGTCGGATGTATTACATAACAGTATAAAATTAATAGATATGTAAACTTTGAGATGGAACAACAATCGGGTTGTGAGGAAATTTCAAAACCTAGAATTATAGTTCTATAGAAATACTGGTCCAATATATGTTATCGACCAGTCATTTTCTTAATTAGATCATTATCTATTAAATAATCTAGTTAATTGTGTTATCATTTGAGAAATTAAAGTAAACAACCTTATAAGGTATAAGAGATGAACATACATTTTTTATGACTGATACACTGGGATAAACATTAAACTAAAAGAAACCAATAAAAAATTATTTTTATTTTTTGATGAAATTTTTATATTATGATTTTTTTAGTATTATTAATTTATTAATTTTAAGTGGTTAACAATAAATCAATTATTCTGTATATATATAGAATAATAATATCTAAAAATTCGAATTCTCAGGTATTATATATTTTTTTAATTTGGCTACTATAATAGCCAAACTCATAAAATATTAATATATAATACATATTATATAACTCCAGACTTCAATGCACGGTTATTATTAAAAAAGTTTTCACTATTTTATTTATAGGGTAGAACATTTGGACAAATGATTAAAGAGTTTATTAAAGATTACACACCATTACAAGAAGAAAATTTGAAATTATTTATGGAACCTGAAGGTCAAATTATTTATGAAGAAAGTCTGGAGCTAACTAGAAAATATTTTCCGCAGTACATTATTGAATTACAAGGAATTGCTGATGGAGCACAAGTATCATTTGAAGAAGTAAGTTTATCATCTCAAAACTAATCAGTTTACAAATATTGTTGTAAATATATTGTTAATTTTAAGCTTTTTTTAATGGCTTTGGATGATACTTTGCCTTTAAATATGAATAAGAACTATGTGGACAAGGGAGCTGTGGGATGTACATCGCTTATCATAAATCAACCAGATGGACAAGTAAATACGAATACTAATACATTTTTAACTTCAATTTGAGAAATGTAATTTAAAGTAAGGGTTTTCTTTTTTTTAGTATTTAGGACACACGGAGGATGCATTAGCTGAAACCGAGGACAACTATTACATTATAGCAGCTCACGTTATGCCTGGCGAGGATGAATTGAATGGCGTGTTTCAAGCTCGAGAAGAAAAATTTGAAGCTCTAGCATATGCTGGTCACTTGCCAGGATATGCTAGTGGACATAATTTTCATGGAGTAGTATTTTCTATCAATACGATATTTGTAACTAAACCTCTTAGAGGTCGAATTCGTTAGTTGAATATATTTTCATTATTATTATAACTATAAACATCGATAATCATTCTTAAAGTTATTTAAATATACTTTATTTTAATTATAGCAAGAGAGTTTATTACCCGCGCTTTACTATCTTCAAGAGCAGATATGTCACAAATCGTTGAAATATTGACTAATGAGGGTGCAGGTACAGCTGATGCTTTCAATGTAAATGTAGCTTTTGTTAATGTACCAAAAGAGTCCCGTGTATTTTACTCTATTGAAGTTATTCCAAGCGTCAGTGAATTTAAGTCACAAGTGTATCCAGTAGAGTTTATACCAGGAAATAATTCATTACACGCAAACAGGTTTGTAAAGTCAGACCTAAAGACTTTGTGTTATTACAATGTGAATCATTTCATATCCAAAACAATTATACAAATCAGATGAAACATATTGTTTTATTAAACAATTAAATTGTTATAATAATAGGTTATTACTTACAGTCAAAATTTAAAAATATTTTAGATTACTTCATCTTAAGTATCCTGAAAGTAAGGATATACGATCATACGAGAGCAGTATAAATAGAGAATGTCGATACCAGCAACTTTCTAAATGCAAAATCCCAAGAAAATTAAATGATGTATTGGAAATATTGGGCGATGAAGAGAATGGTATTTTTAGTATTTTCAGGAATCAGCCAAACGAACTTGTAAAAACTATTCATTTAGGTAAGAAATATAAATAATACGGTAAAAATGACTGAAGTTATAGTATGCAGAGTGTTTAGGAAACAGGGTAATTATTACTAATAATGAAAACAATAGAAACTCGTTTCCTTACACACTGAACACTCTAAGACTCACTATAATTCTGTTATATAAAACCAATGAAGTGTTTAATATAAAAAACAAATGCATTTATACAAATTNGTTATCTCAGGAGATATTGAGAATTTAAAAAAACATAACAATTTTGTACTTTTAATTATTTTTATCCGAACCGTTTGCACTTTAGGATCGTTCAAAGAATTGGTTATCAAGTAAAAATCTTTGATTTGGTTTTATAATACCGGTAGCAGCATAATTTTTTTAAAAAACTACAACATATTGTTGATAACTTTCATTTAAAGGATCGTAAATTTTGATTGCTATCTTGTTTATCATTTCTAGTCAATAAAAAATGGTTTAAGTAATAACTTAGAAAAAATGAATACTGTCATATTAAAACAGTGAAATAACAATAGAATTTTGGTCTGAAATCACTTAAATTTAACATGTCGTAACATCGTTACAATTGAACGATTGATAGATCGGGAAAAACATGATAAGAACAATATTGATTTAAATTTTTTTTATCATACTTTTGAAGAGATTTTGTTTAAGAAATTTATAGTTTAATTGATTTTTATGAATTTTTTTTTGAAAAATAAGAATATTTTATTGAGCATTATTGTATAGTTTTTTGAGCGTAATATCTTTATCTTTATAAAAGAGAATTGTAATATCTTTCAATAGTTTCTAAGAAAATGGGTGCCAAATTTGCATCACTTTCTATTTCTAAGAGGTTCAGACCTAAATCTAGATCTATAAATCTCCGTATATTCAATACTATAATGTACAATAAAATAGATTTNTCTCCGTATATTCAATACTATAATGTACAATAAAATAGATTTATTACTTCATAATGTTCAATACAGTGTGGTATCCACGGCGGGAGTTTTGGGAAACAGAAACCGCAGTGGACTTTTAAAATCATCGTATCGAGAGTAATGGTGAGATGAATCTCTCGATTTCTTTGTTTTAAAAGCTATCTAGA